GATTATGTGTATTTTTCGTTTCACTAAGTGAATCAAAAAAAGTTCCACATGTAATTTTTTTTTCATAAGGTGAATACAAACTTATGTGAAACAATATGTTAAGTCATAATTTTGATTAAAAGAAAGATAATGTAAAAAGATATTTTACATCGGTTTGTACAAGTTTGTAAATTTTTTATGGTTCTTATTTTATTATCATTATTTATACATACATACATATATAGCGTTTGGTTCAAATGTTAACCTAAACTATTGCGTTAACTTTGTTAACTATTTTCAACCAATCACAATCCATCTTAGTACATATGTTATTTTCTTTTTTATGTGACTCCTATATCAGTAATTGGGAGTTACAAAATCATAAAATCTCATGATTTATGTTAATTTTATTATTAATCTTGTTATTTTTTTTAATATTGATTTTCTATCTCTAATGTTTATGAATTTGTGATTGGTAGAGGAGACCCCCGGTAGTAAAGTTTCGGTATCATTCAAATTGACATATACGAAAGATGATGAACATGTGTGACCATATTACACACACATATATATACACACACACACACACACACACACATATATATATATATAGAGAGAGAAAGAGAGATGAGCGATCAAATGCAAACCACTCAATTTGTACAAACCGTGCAAAACACCGTCATCCGTCGATTTCATTGTTTAATCTTATGAAATTTTTTCATGAAATTGTTTAATCTTGTGAAATTGTTTTATATAATACTTTTTTTGATGAAGTTGTTTCATATATGGTTATGAAATTGTTTTATATAATATTTAATGAAATTTTAATGAAACTGTACGTTTCATGTATTTCTCTAAAAGTAAAATAATAAAGATGATAATATACATAATTAACATCCTCCACAATAAAAATGATTAATCAACCTCTCATAATTACAAAAAAATGAACAAAATGAAAAATTATGATTGGTTGAATGAGGTTTGTACGGTTTATACAAATAACGTGGTTTACAAAGTAAACTTCCCCCTCTATATATATATATATATATATATATGTGTGTGTGTGTGTGTGTGTGTGTAGGGTTGGGTTCACGTGAGACCAGACTGTTTTCGTGAGACCCGTGAGACCACATTTTTACATTTGAAACTTCACAGCAAAAACACTGTGAAGGTTTAAAAAAGTTGAACCTTTACAGCAAAAGCACTGTGAAGGGTACCTTCACAGCATTTTGCTGTGAAGTTTCAAGTGTAAAAAGTTGGTTTCACGGGTCTTACGAAAACAGGCTGGTCTCACGTGATTCCAAGTATATATATATATATATATATATATATATATAGCAGGTTCAAATAAAAACCATCCAATTCTAAGAAACTGTGTAAACCAATTTCGACCAATAAGAAAATTCCATTTTTTTGAATTAAATTTAATCAATAAGGGTATTTCGGTCATTTTCCATATTTTTTTTATAAATAAGGAAGTTATTAATGCATATTAATTAAGGAAATTTAAAAAAAGAAATTATGAAAATGGTAACGTTTCAAAATTTTATTATAATATAATATTAAAATCTTGATTTTAATTATTTGGTATTCAATGAATCTGGAAAGCTTGTATGAAGATTCTAGCCTCTTTAGGAATGAAATCGTGGTTTGAGGTTAGAGGAAAAAAAAAACCATGTTCATGAAATTGTATTAATGTGAAAAGGTTTCATTGTAAAATGATTTATTTGCTTCTTCTACGCATATTGTATATATTAATGAAATAGTTTCATAATGGTGAAACATGTTTATGCTCTAATTGATTCATGCTTCATGAAACATTTTTATGGTGATCCATGTTGCATTGTAATTGAAGTTAATCCGTTTAGTTGGTAAAATGAAAATGAAACGGGTGCATAATGGATTTTGTTCTTTATGAAATATATGTATGATGAAACGGGTGCATATTATATTTTATTCTTTATGAAATTAATGTTCATGTAAATGTTTTCAATGTGAAAAATGTTTCATTATAAAATAGTTAATGAAATATGTTTCATTAGGATGTTACCGATTGTTAATGATTGTTTACCATTCTACCCTTATTGATCAAATAAACTAAAATTTTAATTTTTAATTTTTTTTAATTTCCATAAATAAAGCATACAAATCTTGACCATTGATTAAGAAAATGGATGGTTGAGATTGGTTTACACGATTTACACAAATGAAAAGGGTTTTCATTTGAACGCTAATCTATATATATATATATATATATATATATATATATATATATATATATGAGACAAATAACCTTTATCCCGAAAGGTTGTTGTATATTTTACTAGAGATGTAATTATTAATTAACTGCCACTAAGTTATTCCAAAAAAAGAATCTAATTATTTAATGTGCATATACGTGTTAAAATTTAATTATATATTAAACATAGAAACTTAGGAATTTTGTTACTCAATACTTACAGTGGAGTTGTAACTTTGTTAATTTGTTTGTTTTCTAATATGTATTTTATATTTATTTGTTTGTACTTTGGATTGCTTCGACTTTATACTCACGAGCTGCTTAATTATTACATTTATTTGTTTAGATATTTTGTTTTGTTAAAATAGATATTTAATGTAAAGTTATAAATTATATATGTTTTTTAAGTTTAATATTTAAAGTTCATTAAAGGCTCAAACCGTTTAAACCGGTCAGACCAGACCGCCTTTTTGTGGTCTGGTTTGACCGGTCTGAACACTTGATATTAAACCGTTCGGTTTAAAATTTTTATAAACCGTCATTACGATTTGGTTTGTGGTCTGAGGGGTCAAACCACCCAAACCAGACCGCGAACACCCCTACGGTGAACGCTCACCACAGTAGGTGTTTAATAAACAACCCCTTAATCTAACCAAAATTTCACGTTAAAAACATCGACACTAATGCATAAATTAAGCCAAACATCAAAATATAAGCTAGAAATGCGTCTTTTCTTCTATGTTTTGGCTTCAAAATAGTTTATAAACAATGATATGGGCTGAAACGGCACGCAGACTTTCCACAAGAGCTGCGTGGATTTCACCATCATCAGCTTAACAACGACCCTTTTGTATATATCAAACGCCACAATTTCCATTCCTCTGTGTTAATTTTTTTTTGCAAATATATATATATATATATATATATATATATATATATATATATATATATATATATAAGCATCCCATGAGCTTCTTCCAAACACAAATTTCCAACCAAATATTGGAATCAATCGTGTAATAACGCTCGCTTACAGACTCCGGAAATTGAACCAGGTGCGATTTTTGTCATCGTCTCGAATCTCCTTCGACAACTTTATATGTAACATTGGAATTCAAGATTTGTGGGTTATTACAAGAACTTCCATTTTGTTTTTTCTTCTCTCTTTTTCTTATTGTTCGGTATCGAAAACTATGTACGTAGTCGAGGTTTTTTAGACAGAAAAAGGGCTAATCGCTGGTGATCTCGATCATGGAAGAACTGCAAGCTTTTGCCAAGGAGCGTAGCTTCAAAAGGTCAAACATGCTTTCTTTCTTTCTTTCTTTCTGTTATTCCTTAGTTTGTAGCACAAAGCATGAGGAATTGGGATTTAAATCTGTAATCGTTAAAATTGTGAAATCAAATGGTACGAAAACCGAATGTTTGATCACGGTTTTGATGTCGAATTAAACCTTGGAAACGGGTAGAAAATGTATGGTTAATGTAACATGTTCTCTTTATTTGTTTCTGAAAAATCTATGAAAGAATTAAACTTCAATTTTATTGTCAACAAGTTTCAATGACTTATTTGCTTGATTATGTTTTAGAATTAATATGCAAAAAATATCTCTTAGCTGAATTTATTTATTTATTTAAAATCATTATATATTATATTTATGTCATGATACTACTGCTATTGATATTATTATTAAACTAATATTGATATTATTTTTCATACTAAACTTATGGTGTTTAATTTATGTAGAATTTGAGAATTGGTCCATAACACATCAACATCAACATCGACCCATATCTATGGTTATAAATGAACCGAACGTTTAGCGAACTGTTTGTAAACTATTTGACGGAAAGTTTGTTTATTTAATAAATGAACGAATATGAACAATTTTTTTGTTCGTTTGGTTAAACGAACGAACATGAATAAGAGTCTCGTTTGTTCATTTATATTCGTGAATGTTCGTTTATATTCGTTCATTTATATTCTTTTATTTATTTAGTTTGAATTTAAATAATATTTATTTAAGTTTTAACTTTTTAGGATTTATTTAGATTTATATTTTATCATCATTTTGCCTTATTTGAAATATTTTACTTTTTTCAATTTTCCCCCAAAACCCTAGCCTCCAGATAATTTGGTGTGTAATAGTTAATTGAATGACAAGTAGTGATGTTCGTTTAAGCTTGTTCGTTTATGTTCGTTTACCCTATTCGTTTATGTTCATTTAGTATGTTAATGTACGAACATAAACGAACACAAACACACTTGAATTCTGAACAAACGAACACGAACATAAAGATTTTTGTTCGTTTACTGTTCGTGCTCATTCGTTTGTTCAATTAAGTTAACGAACGAACATGAACAATCCTCTATGTTCGTTTAGTTCGTCTACAGCCCTAACCATATCTATTACATCTTTCTATATTTATATCCAAGGTTACAAATAGCACAACTAAAACGATTTATAATGAAATATGTCGATTATTTTGCGACAATGATTCATATAACAACTAGGAAAAAAGCCTGGTAGGCATATATAGGTTTATTATTTCTAACGAGAACAATTGGACGATAAGTCAGTTTTAACTTTTTCTATCTGGTTTTAGTATGAATAGAATTTATCTTATATAGAATGCCACTTCATAATTCTGTCATTTTTGGATTTTTGTATGCATATAAGGCCGGCTAATGACGTAAAGATTTATCTGTATTGTGTTTTATAGTTTTTTTTCTCGTTTCATATTTTTAAGAATTTCTACCGTAATTTCTCATTGCAGAAAGTTAATGGTAGCACAAGTCGGTAGTCGGGACGGTGGTGGTCAAGTAAGGAGAGTCCATATCGTGTATTTTCTTAGCCGTAATGGTTGTACCGAACATCCTCATCTTTTCCGTGTCCATCATATCTCACGTAATGGAGTTCGCTTAAGAGGTCAGTAATATTTTCATAAAACGATATTGTACAACATGACATGCATGTGTTTTATTCTATGATATAGTACCTAAGATGTGTTTTATTCTATAATATGGTACCTAAGATGTAAAGTTTTAAGCATTTAAGTACCCAGTTAACTGATTGAAGCATTAATCGGTTACCATGTTGATGTGGTATATGGTTAATGTTTCAGCAAATAATACTGAGTTGGATACCACATCAGATAACCTAAACAAAGACACATGTCATAACTCATGCACACAAAAACGATATTAATTTTGTAGATGTTAAGAGTTGGCTGTCTGAATTAAGAGGAAACAACATGCCCGAGGGTTTTGCTTGGTCATACAAGAGGTTTGTCTTCGGCTTCTTTTATTTAATACCTCAACTTAATTAATTAAGCGAGTATATAAAAATCCACATGAATTCTTACAAATTTGATGTTCTTTCAACTCAAAAACCATTGACTTTATTCCATTGATTCTTAAAGCATTAAATAAATGTTTGGTTAAAAGTATTAAGCAGTAATCAATATGAATGAAATTAAAAGAAACTGTTTAATATTATATAATATAATCGGCTTATTCCCCCTGAAAAACACAAATTTTCATTTCACATTAAACTGGGGGGAATGAATATTCATTTCATGTCATTTTCATTTTCATTCCCCAGTATGAACCAAACAGTCACTCTCTTAGAAAATTTTCTTCTCCCCCCACCCTCCCCCCTCTTTCTTTCTTCTCCTCTCTCTCTTCTGAACTCTGCTCTTTTCTGATGGTTGCTTCGGTTTAGCTTCCTCTTGAGTGTTGTCTTTCGTTTTGCTTTATGCCCTTTATAAAAAAGTTTAAAAATCCAAAAAAATTGTCTTTACTTTTTTTTTTCTTGACTGGAGGGGCCGCCCCCCTCTATGTGGGAAAAAAAATGAATTTTATTTCATATTTCCTGTTTTTTTATTTTTTAACAAATTACAGAAGGTACAAAGGAGGATATGTTTGGCAAGATCTATTGGATGAAGATCTCATCACCCCAATTTGTGACAATGAATATGTTCTCAAAGGATCACAAATTTCCCCAACAACATTAAATAATGGTACATACTTGTAAGCTTTATTTATTATATTCTAATTCAAAATTACCAATTTTCTAGGTTTTTTTATTTATAAACCAAGTTAACAGATTAAAACTATTATTATGGGCTTTTTATAATATTACAGGACCAAAATATAAAGCGTCATATCTAAAGGTGTTGTAATAAGTTTATGACGCTTTTGGGCGTCTTAACAAGTTTTTTAGGACATTTTTAATACAAAGTGTCGCATTAGCAACTTTATAGGACATGTTTTAGAAAGTGTCCTATAAACTCAATTTTTTATACGACATTTGTTCTTATAAGACGGTTTTTCAAATAGTGTCCTATAGAGTTGTTAATGGGACGCTTTATATTAAAAGTGTTCTAAAAAACTTATTACGACGTCAAAAAACGTCATATAAACTTATTACAACATCTTTTGGATAAGACGCTTTATTTTTTTGGTCCTATAAACCAAATCTTATAAAGAGGTCTATTAGGACGCTTAGAAATTGGGAGTGTTCTATAAACCCCATTTTGTTGTAGTGATTAGAGCCTGTGACCTCCAGACACTTTTGACATTTGGAGACCAAGCTTAAACCAATCGGACACTACCCTTGTGGTTAATATTTTATCTTTTGATCTATTCTTCAACTTTTTCTGGATGATGGTAAATAAAATTGGACCCATAGAACAAAACTCCAGTATGATGTTTAACGTTTGGTTGATTTACAGATATCGATTCATATAGCGAGAAAGATATCGCTAAATCGTCATTTTTCGAAATCAACGTGAAAGGTCCAAAATACCCTTCAATCGAAAAAGAATATCCTCGAGATTTTTCAACGAATACATCCACTGACATCGAAGAATCTTCATTTGTCTCCAATGTCACAACCGAAGACACAACAAAGAATCAAGACGAAAATAAAGACGAAATACAAGTACAAAGCCAAAAGGACGATATCAAGAATAATTCCTCTTACGAAACCTTGTTGGACAAGAACACGAACAATAACAACAACAACAGCAAGAGCAAGAAAGGTCGCAATAAAAGTGCAACCAAGGCTCCTCCATCACCAACTTATTCCTTTGGAAAACCACGTCGTATTTCAGGTTCACGAGCGACACACATGTTTCGGAATTGGATCACTTGTGGGACCGCAAACACCCATGAGACGGCGTTGGTGGTGGTCAACAGAAGAAACGGTAGTACAGCTTCAACTGAAAATAACGAATATAACTCGGGGCAAGTATGCAAAGACCGAAAGTTAAGAGGGTTCGAGAAAAGCTTTGACACGAAAGAGGGATCAAAGAAGAGCAAGAAGGAGGACCCCAATAACATCAAAACCTTTGCAGCTGCTTATAAGCCTGTCAATGGCCCCAATTGCTCGTAAGCTCTATACATCCTTAGTTTCTATGTTATACTTTGACTTTCTAGTCAAACCCGTCTATATCGAATACCGATCTTCAAATTAACATGAAAAACCGTTTACTAAACACTTTCCCATGGGTATGAGAGTGCATAAGGATGTTGTACTGTATGCTTGAAAATCAGTACATTAAGTTTTGGTATGGTTAATGCAGGCAATGTGGGAGGCAGTTCAAACCAGAGAAACTTCACACCCACATGAAGTATTGCATAGGAATGAAGGTTTTGGCCAAATCTATCAAAACAACTCCTAAACCAAAGACTTCAACACCATATTCACCTTCTTCTGATACCTTTTACTTGACCAGTAACTAAATACTTCTACGACGTTTTTACGTATTTAGGATACGCGGTTTAGGTTATAGATTCGAATCACCGAAACGACACTTGTGTATGATGAAAGAAAGGATTTGTTAAAAAAGAATTTGATAGATGGTCAACTTCCATTAATTAGGAATTGCTTTTGATGCATCTTAAAGCAATCACTAAGAAAAGAAAAAAGAAATTGTAACGAATATCGAAGCTCTGAACCAAAAACGAAATCATTGAATGGCAAAAACGAAATCATTGAATGGGTTTGTTCATAACGTATCACAAATCAAGATAGGCGACACGAGAACAAGGATGACAAAAAGATGTAGCGATGAGCGAAAGTGAGAGAAGAGAGGCGTTGAAGTTGGTTGGTACGACACTACGAGAGCATTCGAAAATTTGTTATCGTATCAATACATAATTGACCTTACATTACTGCCACAACTTGTTAGCTACCAATTTAATTGATTTGGTTGGTTTTATATCTTTTTTTTTATTAACCTGGATATTCAACTTGTTATGTGAGCCGACTAATCTCTGGACGACCATCTGCTTTGCAGATAGCTCGGAGTCACCGCATTTGAACCTCCGTGGCCATAAGGGGATTTTTATTTCTCCTTCGATTTGAACATGAGACTTCCTGATACTTTTAACCTTTGGAGCCAAGGTCAAACCAATCAGGCACCACCCTTGTGGTTTAAGATATCTTTTTGACCCACATGATAAAAACAAGTCTTTAGATACAAAGAGATGCACAAGTGCTAAACTGAAACAAAGGCTACAATCTCATTAAGTCACAGTGGTTAAAAGGGGAACTTGATTTCATAACATTTGCTCAAACTAATCTAAAACAAAAAGCTACCATTCATTAGCCTCCTACAAATCTTTCTCCATCTTCCATTAGTTTTGGTTAGAAACACAACCTCAAAACCCCAATAATTCCTTGATGAACTGAAATGACATATTTGACCCCCCATCACAATTCACAACCTACAATCTCAAATCTTTAGTCAGTAATCAATCTGTATCTTGAGCTTAAACTACCAGGCTGCTTTCTGGACATGATCAAGCAAAAACCCATATAATTTCTTCCTCAAATTTTCTACCCTTTCGTCCCCACGAACCAAATCATCGAGCCACTGGTTAACCCTTTTGAGCTGACCCAAAAGACCAACCACGGCTCCTGAATCCTCTCCTTTCGTCAACCCAAACCCCTTGTTCAATGACTCCTCCAAGTAATTCAAAAACCATTTACGCGATGCCGAAAGCAGTTTTTCGGCTAAGTTTGCAGTTTCCTTCAAGCCATTTCCCTTGGACCATTCTAACCTTTCGGGAGTTTCTTTTTTTGTGGTGGGGACTGCACGACGCACTCTTGAACTAACTGGTTCGTGGGCTTTCAGGGTTCTCTTGGCTTCAGGTAACCGGTTCTCCACCTGGATTTTCTCTGAAGTGGTTTCAAGGACAACATGGTAATTTCCCTCACTATGTAGAATGTGTTTGTTCTCTTCTGTTGTAAACAAAGTAAATTTTGCAAGGTTAGTTCCTAAAGCAGCTTGTACCCATAATGCACTATTCCTAGGATGCCCTTTCGTTTTATCGACAGTCGATTTTGAGTCAATTAAGGTGTTGACTACAGCAGCTGATGTTTGAAGTTTCTGATAGAAGTTCAAGAATTGTTCAACAAGAGGATTCATAGAGTTCTCAGCAAGTTCACATATCTCTGCAAACACACTGAATAAAATAGAAAATTAAAAACATAAATTTTATGGATTAAGAAGCTTGAACAATAGAAACTTAGACCATGTTTAGCAACCATAAGCTAGCTTATTTTTTGAGCTTATTGAAAAAGCTCCACTGTTTAGCCATAAGCTAGCTTTTTTAAAAGCTGCTTCAAGTAATGTTTCAATAGGCTCAAGGGATTTTTTTCCAATCAATTTTTCAACATGTCCTTTTAAGTCCTCTTACAATGTTATATATCATATCAGCTAGTTTTTATCAAACATGACTGGTTTATAAGCTACCTTACCGGCTACTACGCCAAACATAGCCATGTAGAAATCGTTCTCTTTCAACAGACACAAGAGATGGAAATGGACAAGTGAAGTTGTACCTCATGCATTGAATGATGTTCTCCGTGGCTGAAGTTTCTTCTAACGCATGTACAGCGGATGAAAATCCCAGATTCCTATGACAAACAACTTCCTAAGAGGCATCATGTTTCAAACAAACGTTAGCTCGTCAAAATCTCCAATAAACTAGATTAACACTCCAATAATCCAACAATTTGAATACCTTTCCAAGTTCACGGATTGCAGGTGAAACAGAATCCCAAGAGATCTTTGAATCCGACCATGTTCTAGCACTAATAGGTACTTTCATAAGGTGGCTAGGTACAGGAGTGCAATTAAATGACGTTTTCAAGTCTTTTTTTATAGGTTTGCTTATCAACTTTTCAGAGACTATCACATTCTTGTTTTTAAGAGGTGCTAGATTCAAATTAGGCGGTTTTAGAATTATATCCTTCACCGAAGAAGCCTTCCTAGCTGAACGAACCTGAAAACCAAGAAAAATTCAAAATTCATACTACAATCGAAACTTAATAGGAAATATATGTGAAATCAAGATGCCATTTTGTGAAGGATAAGCAGATTTGACCATGTACCCTATTCCACAAACTGCAAATCAATATAATTCTAATTTACCTCTTAATAGTTCCACTAAGAGGTGAATCTTGTTTGGCAACATCTGAATCGTTAAGAGGTGAATCTTGTTTGGCAAAAAAAAAAATCTCTCTCTTAATAGTTCTAAAACCCTTTGAATGATTTTATATCATGGATCTCCCTTAACCATTAAAAGCCCTAATTTCATTGTACACAATTACCAAACAATTATATTTCATTTTGTACTATATCATGAGAGCCTCTTAACCATTCTGCACCAAACTATCCAGCAATTGCCAAACAGCCCCAAGGGGGAGTGTACTAGCATTTACCGTATATAAATATTATATACTTTTAAAATAATGGTTGCAATGGTTTTCATTTTCTGATTCCCCGTGTTGATTCTGTTACTTCCCTTTCCGCACATCTAAGTGAAATCAACCCTTTTGCACATTCTTATCGTTATAAACTATTTGGTAACCATGGGTTTCGGGACCAGTTTGTCAGCCTAATGGGGCTTGAAGTTAACTGGCAAAGAGGGACATGAACCAATGACCTGTGGAAATATGAAATCATGTTTTGACAACTGTGGGAGTACCGTTTAGCTTGGGCAGACCTCGACTAATCCCATGGGACTCAAGTTAACAGTCAAGCAAACCTCCAGTAGGCAGTAACCCATGAGGAGCCTTGAACTAGTGACCGATGGAAGCAAACCCAAAGGAAAAACCAATTGAATAAAAGGGTATTAGTTACCCTTTGGACCAATTGAGGTACCCAAAGGGTTAACTTATTGACTGAGTGGATTTTGGTCCACAAGGCTCTGAGAGTTAAAACATGCAACAGTAGACTCTACAACTAAATGCTATAAATTTATTGCAACGGTCATTAATTGGGTGAGGACATAGTGTTGAAAACAAAACTTCGGACATCAAGAAACGTACAAGTTACAAATCATTGCTCTATACATTGTACAAGTATTTCATGCACAAACTATGGTTGAAAATTTGCAGCCTTCATTGTAGTAATAATTATCATTTATGAGATCGTATTCAACTGTATTAATGAGATCAAGCGTAGTAATGCAAGAGAATCTTGAGAGATAATACCGGAGTAGAACAGAGTGGTGATGAAGGCTCTATGAGTTTTGTACCCGACCTGCCGTTCTTGCACGCCGGTGCCGGACTCCGGTCCCAAGACTTCCTAGACGAATAATCCAAACTCAATCTCCTAGTTTCTGGTTCATCACGGATCTTCGCATTTACCAATGAAAGCCTTCTGGTGTTACTCTCCTTGATTTTCCCCTCTTTCTTCTTCTTAGAGAAATCAACCCGACTGTTCCCGCGAATCAGCAACGAATCACTCGAGATCAAGTCCTTCGGATCACCGACGCACGGCCGCCTTTTCGGAACCGGCTTGACACCGCTAAGAACCGGAACAGGAGAGCCCGAATCGAGGCGAGTCACATGGATGAACTGACCTAATTGGATCTTATCACTGAGAATCAAATCGACGTCAGCCTCCGGCACAGAGACGTAGGCGGAGTGAACCGAGTCGGATACTCTCAAATAAAAGCCCTTGTTTCTCCTATCGAAATCGAAAACATCGTCTTGTGGTACAATGCCAATGACCTGAAGGAGAGGAGATCGGTGGTCGCCGGCGACCTTGGCGGTGGGGTTGTCTAGGTTTTGGAGGAGCTTGGATAGAACCCCGGGTGTAAGAGACGCCATGAAAATGAAATGGCAGGGAGCAAAAGCACCATGGCAGAGGGTGGAAAGATAGATTTGATATTTGAGAATCTCAAAGTGACATTGGATTGATGGATTATTTTGGGGGCAGGTGTCGAATTACGAGGCCGGCTTCGACAGCGGAAACTTGCAGAATTTTGCAGTGGGTTTTAAACAAGAGAAAGCTCAGGGCTTCATGGCCATGTGCACCAACAAAAGCTAATAGCGACAAGAATGAACACACAAAATCCTTTTTACATACCATCGAATCCTAACATGACATCTGTATTTTAACATAAAATAAAGGAGTAAATTCTAATTTTGGTCCCTATAGTTTAGTGAAATTTCTAAATGTAGACCTAAATTTTGATAAATGTAGAAATCACCTTCATGATTTGCATTTTACTTCGAAAGTGATCCCTCATCACTAATTCCGTTGAAAAACTATCCATTAAGTTAAAAGTAATTTCATCTTTTTTGCCTTCTTTTGTTATTTTTCTTTATTTTAACTTTTTTCTAAATTAATCTTTTTAATCAAATACCATTATATATATATATATGTATGTATATATACTAGTTGTGTACCCGTGCAATGTAGCGGGATGCAAAAATCCCAACATATTAGTGTAAACTAATGTATATAGATTCATGCATCAACACAATAGCATACAACATATGCCATCCTCAAAGGTGTTTATAGCCTAGAGCACTACACTATTGAGAAAACAAGTTCACCAAAGGGTATTTGGCCTAGCGGTATCGTAGCTCTTGGCTTCATAGAAGGTCAGGGGTTCAAACCTCACCATAGGTGAGGAAGGTGTGTGAGTTTATTTGTTGCATTTGCCGTATATAAATATTATATACTTCAAAAAAAAAAGTTGCATTGTGGGGTTAAAGCACCAATTAGGAGTTCTTGTACTTATGTGTGGATAGATCAAGTGCAGATCATATATTATGTAATAAGAACTAAATAAAACTCGACCTAAAGGATAACATAATAATAATAATAAGGAACCACGATAATGAACTTGATAATATTAGAGTTGACAATGAAAACTACAAGTAATCTCTAAGTTGTCATCCTTGATAAACTATAATACTTAAATGGTAATACAAGCAGCCAGAAGCATTTCCACGAACCAAAATATTATACAAGTTTTATCTGATTGGCAGGTTTGTGTGCTTTCTGCCAAGACATAAATAGAACCAAACCAAGACATGTTCTATTGAATCATCATTCTCATCAGTATTGCTTCTCTCAGACTCTCCAGCATTTGTTCTAGCCTTAAAAACATTGGGTCTTGCACAACAATTTCCATATCTGAAATCCAATGTCAAGGGATATATGAAGAACCGATTGTCTAAAATTCAAAATACCACTATGAATAACAAAGAATCTCACATAAACCTATAGGACAACACAACATAACCACATACCTCTTGTAAGACAGCACAACAGATTTCAAAAGAGATTTCGAAGACACAGGAGATTGGAGAGATTCCCGACCTGCAAAAAAAGCACCTGTATGCTTCAAAGAGAAACTTGAGAAATTTAAATTCTCACAATGTTGCAGCATCGATCAAATGCTTTAACGCATCCTATAAGCTTTTTATTATTTATGTAGTTGACCAATAGCACAAAATTGACATCGGTAATTTAACACAATCAAGGTGTAAGGAAAAAAAAGCAACTCACGTTATCATGTTTATGAGCAACACAAGGAATACTCATCTGGTGTGCTGCTGCTTAAACTCAACTTCCATCCCCTTTCACTCACCAAATATATAAACACATTCATTGGTCGTTTTGTTGCATAGCATTGGCTCTTCCAAGCTATAATCTCTCATAAATCACATTACATGGTAATTTAAGTTGTTTGAGATGTGTATTGAAAGAAGGTGGAGAAAATTTTTAATTTTAATTTTTCTAGATCAAGAACACTGAAGAATGAGAGACTTATGGATTGAAATATATAATACTATCAATGACAGATCCTTATTGACTGTTAACCAATGAAGAAAAGAAGACAAAAATAAACCACAAAGGTGGTGCCTGATTGGTTTGAGCTTGGCTTCAAACGTTAAAAGTACCAGGAGGTCTCAGGTTCAAATCCAATGAGGAATAAAAATCCCCTTATGGCCACGGAGGTTCAAATGCGGTGACTCCGAGCTATCTGCAAAGCAGGTGGTCGCACTGGGATTAGTAGGCTCACATAGCGGGTTGAATATCCAGGTTAATCAAAAAAAAAAAGACAAAAATAAGATGAAGAAAAACAATTATTTTCATGTACCTTGCGTTTGATTCTCATAAGAACTTGCAATAAAAAATTCTTTGACCATAGCCCGATCTTGGATACAGAATAACTATCTGTGTTTGTGCTAACATAAACCAACAATTAATGATAAACATAATATCACATATTTTCATCCTGATAAGTTTGAAGACAGGGCACACTTCTTATGCAGCAGACATTAAAAAGCGTACTGTAGAGTAGATTAACACAAAGCATGGTTATGGACTATGCAACTGGGAGAAATTAATTTACAAAAGAAAATTGGACAAAAAGAAAGCCACATCACCTCATACACCAAAAGCAAAACCATAAATCTGGTTTTGGTTTTGGCAGAGGAAGATTCATGAAAAGGAAGAAGAATTAGAGAATTGAAGGTAAAAGAAATCTGAACCTTCACAACAAAAACACTGTGAAGGTAATCTTCATAATGTTTTGCTGTAAAATTTCAAGTGTAAAAAAGTGGTTTCACGAGTCTCATGAAAACAGCTTGGTCTCACATGATCCCAAGTAAGTGTGTGTGTGTGTGTGTATATATATATATATATATATACTAGAAAGGTACTCGCGCAATGCAGCGAAATACATATCGATGTTAATGTTTCGTTTTATTCTTATCTCTATCGATGCCAAAATACGATTTTATGTGGTTTTAAGAAAACGTTAATGTTTTTATTTTTGAATAAGATATAAATTTGAAGATATTATAAAAATTTGAAAAAATAACATGATATAATTTTTGGTTTAATAATTTAATTTTTAAGTTTAATAACAAAGCAATTTATTTTTGATATAATAATATAATTTTTTATAAAGATAATAACTAAGTATTTTGTTAGAACTCAATGATTATTCTAATTATATTTCAAATTTTTTATAACTAAAATGAAATGTTTATCATGTATTTAATTATATTTGTCTGCATTTAGTTATACGAATTCAAACATAAAGCTTTAATAAATTGTAGTGTTACATAATTTACTTGTAATCTTTACGCATAAAAAATAATTTTAAGAATTTTTGTCAAATGCGTATAATATACTATAGATTTCCACCAATAAGAAATTTTGAAAATAATATTTAAAAGAGAAATAATATTTTATTGAATGAAATAAACATTTAATAACATAATCAATGTTATAATCTTTAAAATGTGGAATCTGTTAAAATTAAATGTAAATTTGTTTTTTATTATATTTATTTGCAGTTAATTACACGAATTTAAATGAAGTTTTAATAAGTTGTACTTACACATAAAAACTTATAATTTTAAGTTTTAAATAATATGCATCAATAACAGTACTTGATGCATAAAAAAAACAATCAAATTTTTTCAAGTCAGACTTAATCAAGCTTTTTTAGGCCAAGTTTTCTCAAACTTTCCCCTAAAAGTTGTGGTCTGATAGGGGTTTTGATCGGGTCAGGCCTGGGCCATTACAGAGAGACCGACTCAATCTTTGGAGGATGGAACCGAGAGTGGGACCAGTTGGGAACAATCCGAGTTAACCGGTTTACCCATCGACGACAAATACGATGGTTTAAAAAGCGAACAAATTAGTTTTCACCCATAAATCAAATGCCAACAAGTTCTCAACTTGACTTCAAAGCCCAATTACCCCAATGGCTTAATTCTTCAAACTTGCCTTCCAATTATGCTAATCTTCCATACAAATAACAAACCATCAAATCCAACCTTCCATTCACAATTCCATTCCATCAATGGATTCATCTCAAATCCAACCTTCCATCCACAACTCCATTCCATCACTGGATTCATCTCAAATCCAACCTTCCATCCACAANTTTTTATTTTTGGTATAATAATATAATTTTTTATAAAAATAACAACTAAGTATTCTATTAGAACTAAATGATTATCCTAATTATATTTTATATTTTTTTATAATTAAAATGAGATGTTTATCATATATTTAATTACATTTATCTGCAGTTAGTTACACAAATTCAAACATAAAGCTTTAATAAGCTGTAATTACGCATAACATACTTGTAATCTTGAATTTTAAGTAATACGTATCAATAAATAACACTTTATACATAAAAAAATGATTTTTAATAGTTTTTTTGGTTTTTTATTTTTATGTTCATTTGTGATCACAATTGATTACATGGAAAATTATTAAAAGAAGGTCCCCTACATATATACATGTATTTATATAATCATATATTGCTTAGTTTTATACATTTGTATGTATACTATAATTTAATTCTTTTGATGATATTGAGTTTATAACAGATATCAAGAACATATAAATGGAAAGTAAGATACTAACAGAAAAATGAAGAAAAATGTGTTCTTGAAACGAATAAAAATAATGAGAATAAGGCTTAGGCGCTGTTTACCAAACGCTTATCCGGATAAGTATTTACTAAGTCACATTACCTTACCGGATGAATATGACAATGACCAATAATTATATCTAGTAAGAGCGAGACAAGGACCGAGAGTCTTATCCGGTAAGTGAAGACGATGACTCTTATCACGGTTAACACTTATTAAGTAAATTGTTGTATCCAATTCCGTTTCGGTAGACTAAAATCTTACTGGATAAGAAAGTGATAGTGTTGAATTTTACCGGTAATCGTTTACCGGGTAAGTGTTTTGTAAAAAGCCCCTTAAACTAGATAAAATTTTATATTGTATAAAAATATAAATAAAATTTCACCAAAATTATATAGTAATTAAATAAC